TTCTATTAACCCCTCAGGTTTTGATAAGTTCCTTGCGCAGTGCAAGGAGAAGGAGAGTTGGGCGCAACCATCTAGGTCACTTGGGCATCCCCCACGAGGCGACAGTAGGGATGCTTTCCCCTCGAGTTGAGGCATTGCTTAGCAATAGTACACTTTATTAGTTCTCCCTTGTTTTGTCGTCCTTCATTTTTTCTCGTAGTGTCATTTCCTACTTGCCCGGAGTGTGGGCAAGAGCACATCACATGCCTTTTTTTTATGAATGCTTTGTTATCGACTTTTATCAACGTTGAACGTGTCGTTCTTTTAACTTGCCTTTTCTCTCGTTATTTCCTTCGTTTAGTCGTTTAATAGCAAGGGAGAGTGACATCCATCAGGCGGGTGCCAGGCTTGAGTTTAGTGGTCGGTGGCCAATTTGTGCCTTTTAAGGCATTCCACCTCAGCCTCGCAGGCTGTGTCGATCGAATGTCTTCACGGGAGAAAGGTCAGGCGATTAAGAGCCTTAGCCAATTTTTTGGCTTTTCAAGGCTCTCCGCTAGCCGCGTAGGCTATGTCGACCATGCGTCTTCACGGGAGGAGGGTCGGGCAGTTAAAGGCCTTTGCCAATTTTTTAGCTTTTCAAGGCTTTCTGCCTAGTCACGCAGGCTATGTCGACCATGCGTCTTCACGAGAGGAGGGTCGGGTGGTTAAGGGCCTAAGTCAATTTTTTGGCTTTTAAAGGCTCTCCACCTAGCTGCGTAGGCTATGTCGACCACGCGTCTTCATCGGAGAAGAGTTGGGCGGTTAAGGGTCTCAGCCAATTTTTTGGCTTTTCAAGGCTCTCCGCCTAGCCGCGTAGACTATGTTGACCACTCGTCTTCACGAGAGGAGGGTCGGGCGGTTAAGGACCTTAGCCAATTTTTTGGCTTTTCAAGACTCTCCGCCTAACCGCGTAGGCTATGTCGACCACGCGTCTTCACGAGATGAGCGTAGGAGATTCAAGGCTGTATGTTAGTACATAAAAATACTTGGACTCGTGAGCTCAGTAGGGGCATCGGGACGTCCCAGCTAGGCTGGCCCTTCTGTAGAGCTCTCTTCATCCGCCACTGCAACTAAGGGCGCCTTCGTGAGGCGTTACATGGAGAGAATGAACAATGCAACCTATTTTACTGTATTTGCAAAAGCACAGCATGTGCATCTATTTCAAAATTTACTGGTAATATTTTTTGAGATGCTCTGCATTCCACGGCCTACCTACTGGCTTTCCTTTCATGTCTTTCAAGCTGTAAGCTCCCTTCCCCAGCCCGCGGATCACTTCATATGGGCCTTCCCAGTTTGGACCAAGCTTTGGTGGGGGGTATCCTGCGGCTGCTACATCCGTTACCATGAGATCTCCTGGCTGGAAGACTCTTGGCTTCACTCCCGATTGAAGTACTCGGTGGGTCTTCGTTTATAACCCATCATTCTTATTGCCGCCTTTTCCCTTACCTCCTCAAACAGGTCAAGTTCTCCCCTAGTCGCTGCGTCGTCGGGCTGCTTGACTTTCATCCTCACTGTCTCGCTTAGGATCTCAACAGGAACTACTGCTTCCATCCCAAATGTTAGTCTGAATGGTGTCTCCCCGGTTGGCTCTCGGGGAGTTGTGTGATACGCCCATAGCACATTGGGTAACTCATCTGCCTAAAGCCCTTTCTCATTTTCTAGTGTGGTCTTCAAACCCCATAGAATGCTACCACCCTGGGTATCCCGAACCGGCATATTATACTTCTCCATACAAAGCCTTGTATTTTTTTCGTCATGGTGGTTGCCAATGGCTTCGCCTCCACCCACTTAGTGAAGTAGTCGATGGCGACCAACAAAAACTTTCTCTGTCCCTTAGCCATAGGTAGAGGTCCTAAAATGTCTATTTCCCACTGAAAAAATGGGCACACCCCTAAGATGGCGGCTTGCTATTCGGCTGGGACATGGATAAAATTCCCATGGCGCTGGCATGCATCGCATTTTCGTACCAACTCTTTGGCGTCTCCTTTCACGGTCAGCGAATAGTAACCTTGCCGTAAAGTCTTAAAGGCAAGGGATGTTGCCCCTTGGTGGTTACCGCAAATCCCAGCATGTACTTCAAACAATATCTCCTTTGTGGTTTTCAGTTATGGAATAGTGAAAACTCGCTTGTAAAGCTGCCCATCGATTATGGTAAATGAAGTCGCTCAAGCTCTCAACCTCCTCGCCTCAAGGGGGTCTTCTGAAACTTTATCTTCTGTGAGGTACTTGATTAACGGATCCATCCAGCTTTCTTCATACTCAACATTTTTTTACCTCAGCCCAGCGCTGGATGTTAGGTTGTTGTAGGACTTGTACGTTAGCTGTCCGGGGTAAGTTTTTTAGGTTGGCCTATGCGAGCTTTGCCAGTGAGTCTGCCCGCTCGTTATCCTTTCGTAGGACCTTCGTTATCTTGAAGCTCACGAACCCTTTTTGCAGATCCCTTACTTTCATCAGGTATGCTGCCATCCTTCCATCTTTCGCCTCATACTCCCCTGACACTTGCCTGACTATTAACTGTGAGTCACAACAAACCTCTAATGAAGATACCTTCAGCTTAGCTGCCAGGCCAAGGCCTGTGATTACTGCTTCGTATTCGGAGTCATTATTGGTAACGGAGAACTCGAAGCGCAGTGAGTATTCCAATTCTTCGGAGTCTGGTCCAATCAGTATATCCCTGCTCCTGATCCTTCTGCGTTTGAAGAACCATTTACAAAAACCTTCATGTCCACCTTCTGCCCCTCTGAGGGCTCCGTTGGAATGGTGAGCTTAGCAATGAAGTTTGCCAAAGCCTGTGCTTTGATGGCCGTTCTAGGCTTAAATTCAATGTCAAATTTTCTTATTTCAATTGCCCATTTCTGAAGTCTCCCGGATGTCTCTGATCGATGCAGGATTTGTTTGATGGGTTGTTCAGTCATTACTTGCACTGTATGGGACTGAAAATAAGGTCTTAACTTCTTGGCTGCAACAATCAATGTGAGCACTAGCTGTTCGGCCAGACTATACCTTGTCTTTGCCCCTTTGAGGACTTGACTGACGTAATAGACCGATTTTTGTGCCTTAGAGAATTCTTTCACTAGAATCGCGCTGACAACTCGGGATGACACTGCGAGGTAGAGACATTCTCATGGGCATGGGCTGGTCAGAATAGGAGGCTGCTGTAGTGACCTCTTCAAGGATTCCAGCGATTCTTCGCATTCTTGAGTCCACTCAAAATTTGTAGAGCCCCCTATGGCTTTAAAGAAATGGTAGCACTTATCTGCTTTTTGACTCATGAAACGGTTTAGGGCCGCAACGTGCCCGGTCAGCCGCTAGACCTCCTTCTTACGATTGGGGCTCTTCATTTCCAGTATCGCTTGTAATTTGTCAGGGTTCACTTCAATACCTCTCTGTGTGATCATGAAGCCTAGGAACTTCCCGCCTGCTGTACCAAAAACACACTTATCTGGGTTGAACTTCAAGTTGCTCTGTCGAGCTACATCAAACACTTTCTGTAGACAAGCCAAGTGATGAATGGCCTTGACACTTTTTACCACCATATCATTGACGTAGGCTTCTATGAAAGTCCCGATCAACTCCCGAAAGACCCTATTCACCATCCTCTGGTATGTTGCCCTTGTATTCTTGAGGCCGAATGGCATGGCTGTGTAGTAGTGGGTTATAGAATCTGTGATAAATGACGTCTTCTCCTGGTCAAACTCAGCCATAGAGATTTGGTGATACCCAGAAAATGCGTCCAGGAAGCTAAGCCTTTTGTGACCTGATGTGGCGTCAACCAGGTAGTCTATCCGGAGGAGTGGGTATGAGTCCTTCGGGTATGCTTTATTCAGTCCAGTGTAATCTACACACATGCGCCATTTCCCGTTTGACTTTTAACCAGCACAATGTTGGCTAACCACTCTGGGTACTGCACCTTTCGGATGAAACCTGCTTGTAGCAGCTTCTCCACCTCCGCTTTTTCTATTTCTTGCCTTTCGGAAGTGAGGTTCCTTTTCTTCTGCTTCACTAGTTTGGCCTTGGGTAAGACTCCGAGGCGATGCTGGGCGATCATTGGGTTGATCCCAGTGACATCGTTTAGGCTCCATGCGAAGACATCTAGGTTGTCTGCCAGGCACCTTACCAACTCTCTCTTTTCATCAGATCCCAAATCGGCCCCAATACTAAACTCTCGTCCTTCTGATATGGAGATCTTTTCAATCATTTCAAGTAGTTTGATTCTCCCTTTCAGGGGTTCAACCTCCAACATCATGACCGGCGGTGCTCCCTAGTCGATATACTATTGACATAACATTTTCTGGACGCTTGTTGACCCCCTAACACACACCTGACACCCCTGTTGGTCGGGAATTTCATGATGGAAGGTTGAAGGGATGGCCCCGGCTGCGTTCAGCAATGGTCGATCGTAGATTGCATTGTAGGCCATGGGAGTCTTGACAACTAAAAAGCTTGCCACGATTACTACAGTGGTCGGATAAGTGCCGAGTGTAAAAGGGAGGTCTACGATCCCCTCCGAAATTACTGTGGCCCCTCCAAAGCCCTATAAGGGGGTGGTCACCGTCGTCAACTTGTCAGGGAAGATTTTTAAGCCCAAAAAAGCATCCCATGTGAGTACATTCGCGGCGCTCCCTCCATCAACTAACACCCTCTTAACGTCGAAATCGGCTATGTCGCCTACTATTACTAGGGCATCATCATAGGGGTGCGCCACGCCTACCAAGTCTTCCTCGCCAAAAGTGATGCTCTAGCTGAATCTTGCCTTTTTTTGGATGGAGCATATCCCGAGAGAGCGTGCGCAGCTTTTCCTTGCCAAATTTGAATCTTCGCCTCCTGCTAACCCTCTTGTAATCATGTTTATCACTCCGGCCCTAAGTGGCGGACGGTCTTCCATTTTTTGCTTTCCCCGATTGTCCTTTATATATTTGCCTAGGAGCCCCTGCTTTAGGAGGCATTCAATCTCCTCTTTCAATTGCAGGCACTCTTCAGTATCATGCCCGTGATCCTTGTGGAAATGACAATATCTGCCCTGGTTTCTTTTGCCGGCTGGTGTTAATGGGTCTCGACCGTTCTAGCTCTTTTATGTCTCGTATCTCCATCAATAGTTTGGCGTGTGGAATGTTTAAAGGGGTGAACGCCCTGGACTCTTCTCGTTTGTGCCTGGCTGGCCGATCTTTGGCTGCCCCTTTAACCATTTGCTCACTCCTTAGCCTATTTTTGTTGGTAGATCTTAGCTCGTCCCTCGCCTTGCGCTTGTGACTTTCCACTTCCCATCCATCTCTGAGGTTCTTTGTGACCTTCTCCACCTCCTCGGCATCAACATACTTGTCTCCCTTTTTCAATAGGTCGTGCATTGATTCTGAGGGGTTCTTGGAAAGTGACATCTTAAAAGTCCGATTCTGAGTTCTATTCATCAATGTAGTCACCACTGCCGACATCTGAAGATCCTCTATTCCAAGGGTCGCATGGTTAAATCTGGCCAAATATTCTTGCAAAGACTCATCTTTCTCCTAGACCACCTACATCAGTCCAATGGTTGTCCTCTTCTTTCTCTTGCTACTTAGGAAATAGGCTACAAAGCTCCTGGAAAGTTCATCAAATGTTCGGATAGACCGAGGGACAAGTATTGCCACCCAGTCTTTGGCTTCCCTCCTGAGAGTCGGGGGGAAAGACCGGCACATCACCACATCGGGTGCTGCATAGAGTCTCATCAGATCAACGAAGGTCCGCAGATGGTCAAGTAGATCTGTGACCCCATCGTAAGCCTCTATCATAGGCTGCTTAAAGCCTTTAGATAAAGGGACCACCATGATTTCGGGAGCGAACGGGTCCTCTTCTAAGACCATCTGCCTATGCTTGTCTTTTCTTTTAGATATTGCATCATTAATTTTCTTCGTCATGATCCGCTCCAGATCCGCCATGGGTGGGACGAACTGCAAGACCGTCATCCCTAAAGCTCCCCTATCTTGCGGTCACCGGTTGGAAGGCAGGCGATGTTTCTATGTGCGCCTCTTGGGTGGAGGTGGGGCCTCCGCCCAATGCGGTGGGAAGATGGCTCTATGCATTTGATTCTGTAGGAGGGCCATCATGGCCGCTAACTGGGTCTCTAGGGCGCTAAACTGGCTTTGCGTCACATATTGCGATGATGGTAATGGATCGGCCCCTGGCGATTGATTTTGATTCTGTCTCTACTATTGCTGCCCTCAACCGTGTATCACTTCTTGTTCTTCTTCTTGACATGACTTTGGTGTTCAATGGAAGGATTTCTCATAGACGGCGCCAATGAAATGGTAGCAGAATGGTGCCTCCTGATTTGTCGGGCGGCCTTTGGCATTTCCACTACTCCGACGAGCTTATGCAACCTGAAAAGTGAGGACGGGACTTTCTTCCCCGTTTTACCTCTTGTGTCATAATCAGTATATGTTGGGAGAAATGTGAACTGAAATCAGATGACTGAAAGAAAAAATGTCCAATCCCATACCTTGCCTCCTTAGGGGGTATTTATCGGGGCCGGAAGCCAAGTAAGTGCTGGGTGGTCGTTATGCCTAGTGTCCTATGTTGGCTTTTCCACTTCCCCACGATCTGAGTGGGGGGCCTTTAACTTCCCGCTTGGAGGTCGTGCTTGTGATAACCGCTATGGGGTTTCACCAATTTATTAGAGATTTGCATGGCTAAGTGTCGGAATGACCACATAGGTAATTCCATGTTGGTGGATGACTTCACGCAAAGGTAAAGCGCTCGTGGGGGGTTGAGGAGCTTACATAGAGGTAGAGTGCCCGTAAGGGGTCGACGGTCTTGCATTGAGGTAGAGAGCCCCAGGGGGTCGACGGCCTCGCAGGGAGGTAGAGAGCTCCCTGGGGGTCGATGGCCTTGCATTTGCGTGTAGCGACCTATCTTCCCCATTATCGGGGGTGGTTTTCTGGGCCAGCATATATCACACATCTTTATCAATAGTTATTAAATTCCATTCTGGCTGTTGCAAGAATTGAAAAAGACATTTTTTTTGTGGTTTTTTTTTTGTTTTTTGTTAACTTAACCAAACGGGAGCTTACATCAAAGGGAACAAAATAGAGGTGATACATTTTTCTTCTCTATTGGACCTTTGCATACCCTTTCTCCACCGATCCTGTTAATCTACATTCTGCAACTTTGGAAGAATTAAAACCAAATATTGAACTTCCTCTCCCTCTTCTCAAATTTGGGGTTTGGCATTAGCAGTTCCCTTTTCTAGTTTTGACTTCAAGATTGTCTTCATATTTTCGGTCCGGCACGTTTTCTGTTACTTCTCATATTGCTGAAAAAAATTGAGAAATTGTGAGGTCGAAATCCGGGTGATTGCTGAACGGGTTCTTCACGTATGAAATTACTCCTTCTAGCCTATAAATGTGGATTTTGTTTAAGTCAAAGAAATTCAAATACCCGGGTTTGTTTTTTTTGTTTTTTTAATTATGTTGGACCTGGTTTGCGGCAGCTGCTACTTGACTGTTTGGGTCATTACCGGCGCCAGCAGCTGCTTAGATGGATGAGGCACTGGTCGCCCCCCAACTTTTGAAATAAAAAAAAGTGTTATCGGGTTAAATTGTAATTTTAAAAAGGGGTCTGTTTTGCAAATATTAAGAGAAGGACTTGTCTTGTAATTTAAACTAGGGGTCATGTTGCAAATTTTTAAATAGTTTCTAATTTAAACATGAAAAAGGGGTTTTTAAATTTTTTCTTAAATTTCAATTTTGACTCAAATTAAAATTTTATTTAAAATTGACACATTTAAAATTATATCAAATGAATGAATAAAATTGGTTGACGACTTCCTTTTTTTTTATTCTCATCAAAATTTTTGTGTATTTAAATGTCGTTATTATTTGTGCGTTTCATTTTTATATATTGAAATTTTGTTGCCAATTTCGTCTCTCAATAACATTTGAAATTTTGCCTTTCATTGATTGAAAATTATGATTTGTTGCATAATTATGGTTCCATGATTGAATTTTCATAGATTTTTGAGATAATCCTTATTTTCCCACAAAGAGAAATATTTTGAAATAAAAATGGGTGGTAGCTGTCAAAGTGGCACACTCATTTTTATTTATTCGATTTTCTCTGCAATAAAATATATATTTTGCGCAACAATTTTGAATTATTACATATAGTATCTTGCCCAAAGGTGGAATTATATGTATTGTTTTGGAAAATAGTATAAAGCGGTTAAAGAGCTTAATTTGGTTTAGAAATCTTCTTCTGCCCAAAGGTGTTGAAATTTCAAAAGCCAGTGTGATTTTGTTAACTAGGTATATGATGTGTTTTAAGAATACCTTATAACATGTTGTATTGTCAGCCCAAAGATAACTTTATAATGATGTATCTAGGCTCTTACTGTATTAAAATTCATATGGTTTTGATTTAAATTATGGATTATCTAATTAATAGTCCATGTTAATTAGTTGGATATTTTATCATCCATTTGATTGCATGCATTATGTTTGGACGATATTGAATATGATACTTTATGTTTCCACAATTTATAATGCTTCGTCTCTTTCGAATCAATTTTCTGCCATTGAACCTTGACTGGAAATAATTATAGGAGATGAAAACGAGATGTAAATATAGTACTTGGTCTTTTGGGCTTGGATTTTGCAATGGAGAAAAAGTTCCAGAAACCCATAAATAAGAGAACTGTAGAATATGTAGCTGAGTATGAAAAGTGAGAAAGGGCTAATAAGCTTTGTTTGAAAATTATTAAGCGTTCCACATCTGATTTCATTATGGGTGCTATCCCAGACAATGAAAATGCTAAAAGTTTTATGGATGCTATAGGAGAAAAATTTATTGAGTCTAATAAAGTCGAAACTAGGAATATGATGGATAAATTGATGAATATGAGATGTGATGTACAAGCGGTGTTAGAGAGCACGTTATAAAGATGATAAATATATCATCTGAGCTAAAGACTTTTAAAATTCCCTTGGCCTTAGTTTTTTTGAGTCTTCCTTTGTAGATGTGCCTTTGAATTCTTAGTGGTTAGACTCGGGAGCTAGTATTCATATTGCGAATTCCTTGCAGGGGCTCACAAGCAAACGTAGGTCAAGTGAGAATGAAGTGAACTTGAGCATTAGAAAATGGAGTTCAAGTAAAGGTTGAATTCATAGGAGTAGTGAAGTTGTCTTTGGAGTCCGATTTCAACCCTGTTTTGGAAAATACAGTTTTTGTACCGATAATGAGATGGAATTTAATTTCTATATCGAAACTAGATGCTTATGGTTTTTCCTTTAATTTTGGTAATGGAAAGGTTGAGTTGTTTTATGATTCTTGTTTGATTGGGAATGGCATTTTACGTGATGGTTTATGTAAATTGTCTTTGACTCCTTTTGGTGAAGTCTCATGTGTTATCAATATATCAAAGAAAAGGACTTTGATATGTGAATCGTCCACTATGTTGTGGCATAAACGGTTAGGTCACATTTCAAGGGATAGAACGGAAAGATCGATAAAAGTTGAGATACTTCCCTCTCTAAACTTCTCTACCTTTGACACCTGTGTGAATTGTATAGCGGGAAAACTAAGTCTACAAGGAAAGGTTCTACTAGGAGTAATGTCATTTTAGACTTGATACATACTGATATCAGTGGACCTTTGATTTCCACCATATATGGGACTAAATACTTCATAACATTTACTGATGATTTCTTATGATATGGATATGTTTACTTGATTAACGATTTATCACATGCAATTGAGAAATTTAAAATTTTCAAACTGGAAGTAGAGAAACAATGTGGGAAAAGTATAAAAGTTGTAAGATCTGACCGTAGTGGTGAATACTATGGGAAATATGACGAGTCTGATCAAACCATGAGTGATTTTGCAAAGTTTTTACAAGAGCCTGGAATATTGCCTCAATACACCATGCTAGGGACACCTAAGCAAAATGATATTTCTAAAAGACATAATCGAACTCTAAAAGATATGGTCAGAAGTATGATGAGTAAAACAAATTTACCTAAATATTTATCTAGTGAAACTTTGAAAACTGTTGTGTACATCTTGAATAGAGTTCCAAGTAGAGTTGTTACAAAGACACCTTTTGAATTATGGACAGGACGTAAGCCAATTTTAGTTCATTTCAAAGTTTGGGGATGTCCAGCTAAGGCTAGGATCTATAATCCATTTAAAAAAAAATAAAATAAAATTAGACCCTAAATCAACTCTTGGTAACTTACTGGGTATCCGGACATATCAAAAGGATATAAGTTCTACTGTCCAAATCGTAGCACTAGAATTGTGGAGTCCATTACTGCTAAGTTTCTGGAGAATGATTTTGGAGATAGTGAGAGTTCCACATGGAGAGAAATTTTTGTTGAACCAAATCAAGGTGTTGTTCCAGTTTTTATTATACAGGAAGGAGTTAGTTCTCAACCTATTGAAATTGTTAATGAATAACCAACGAACCAAGAGAAACTTCCAATCCCTCAAACAATGATTGAATCGATTTTTGAGCCACAAGTTAATAAATCACAAAGGGAAAAGAGATCTACATTACTCAGTTATTATATTACATATTTATTGGAGAGTGATTTTAATATTGGATATATAGTTGATCCTGTAACTTATAATCAAGTATTGACAAGTCTTGAGCCAGATAAATTGATAAACGCTATGGAAGATGAAATGAATTCTACGGAAATGAATAAAGTTTGAGAACTTGTTGAACTTCCTACAGATGCCAAAGCTATAGATAACAAGTGGATTTTCAAAAGTAAATCAGATTCAAAAGAAAATGTTGAACGAAAGAAAGCACGATTGGTTGTAAAAAGTTTCATTCAACAAGAGGGTATTGATTATGTTGAAACATTCTTCCCTGTTTCGTCGAAAGATTCTTTTCGAATTATTATGGCACTTGTGACACACTATAATTTGGAGCTTT